TCAAAGAACCCTGACCCGCCAGTGAAAGAAGTTGAGACAAAAGAGAATGTACAGTTCATTGAAAATGTCAAGAAACAACTTCCACCACGAATGCCAAGAAGAAGAGTGAGAATAATGAAGTAAATAGATATTTTTATCTGAAGTAAATACATGCAGAACGAACAGTTAAACGAATTTACTCCAGCAGAGCATATTCATCAGATTCGCTCATATTTCGATATCATAGACAATGCAGTTCAAATTGGTGACACTAATAGAAAATATTCTGACGCAAAGATTCCATCACAACCTGGAACTGCTAAAGATAACACATGGGTAACATTCAATCTCTCACCTCCTGGTGAAAATATGTTGGACCTTTACAATACATTCATTACGTATAAAATGGAAGGTCAATTTATTGTAGATAAAGAAATTGGTTCAGGTTCCAATAAAACAAACCCACCAGGATTTTGGATTGGTTTCGATGACGCTTTCTATGCAGTTGCTGGATATCAAATCCTTGCAAATGGTCGTATCGTATATTCTCAAGACAACGCAAGAGAAGAAGCATATATAACTTCAAACTCACAAACTACCGAACAAATAAAGAAAGTAGATGTTTTCTCAAAGACTCGACATGAAGATGTATGGAGTCATTCGGGAACATGCAGAACAGGACAAATTGTTAGTGGTCCAATTACAGCAGGAAAATCATTTGATTTTAAGCTTCGTTTAAGAATTCCTGTTAGAAGATTCCTTCCATTAGAAGCTATTCGATTTATTCCAGCATTTGCAGGTAACATTCAGCTTAAAGTAAAGTTCAGTAGCGACGCCTTACAATGCACATCTATATCTGTAAATGATATCATTGCTTTCAATCCAACTCTTAAAGTTGCATTTGCTTCAGATTCAAATCCACCGACAAATAAATTTGTTCCATGGAATGAACCATTCACTATGATAACGAAGGCAGTAGAAGCTAGTGGAACAGTTACTATTACAACTGTAACCCAGCAACTATTTCGAACAAAGATGGATTTTAATGAATGTTTCATTCATCCAAAGTCATTCTCTTTAGACCCTAACATTTATACAGAACTTGTAGAACATTATACAAACGAGGCTTTATGTTTTCCTGTTAAAGTTATGGATTGGATTCCTATGGACGGTTCATTCTCAAAGAATACAGATAGTTCAAGTGCAACATTTACAGCAGCTTATACGCCTATTAATGTTAAAAGTATTTGGGCACTATTTAGAAAGAAAGACAACTATTATGTTAATTTTGAGAACCCTAAGTTTAAATATCTTCAGCTTTCCATGGGAGCTTATGGAAATATGCCTGCAGAACCTGAAAAATCATATGGACCTGTATTTTATGAAATGGTTGCGAACGCTTGCAATACAAACAATGATATGATAGGATTTAATGAAGATGTTATGAGGTCATTGGTGGATGATGGTAGTGTGGAACATAAATGGGATAGCTATGACAACACACATTTCTTATGTGGTTTTCCAACAGAAGTGGACTTTTGCTTCCAGCAAGGTCAAACATCTACTGCTCCAATAACATACAAATTGTCTGTTAAAGGACCTATTGAACTAGCAACTGAAAATGTACCAAAGCCACTTATTGGATTTATGAGGGATTGTTGCTTTGCCATTCAGGTGCGTGCTAATGGAATCCAATAATAAGATTAGATGACTATAACTTAGCTGCGGACGACAGTGAGGAATAAAGGATGAACGTTTATTTTTAAAGCTTATAAATGAGTTCTTCATCAAGCTCTCGTGAACCTTCACCATCTGTGAAACAAACTTTACCAAACGATTATGGAGCACCTATTGAATATTTCTTACGAGCTGCACAATGGCAAAGAGCAGTCTCACCAAGGTTAGGTGTTCCACCAGCTCCTGTCAAAAATAGCATTTGGTCAAGTCCTTATATAAAATATGGTCTCCCACTAGGTTTGCTAGCTACAGCAGGAGCAGTTATGATGTTGAAAAGAAATAAAGCAAATGTTGTAAATAATACTGAAGTAGTTGAAGTTAAACAAACTCCAACACCTTCGTCAAAACCAACGCCTTCACAAACAACACCTTCAATGACTCCTGAACCTATGAAAGTACAAACTCCTGTTCAAAAGTCAACTCCAAAACCGACTCCAACATTTAAACCAGAACCTACTCCTCAAATAAATCGTAAAACTCCTGCGTTTCCTTACTGAAAAAATAACGTTATTTTTATTTAATATTAAAATTTTTATTTGATTGAAATGACAAATAAAGTCACTGAAGCAATGAAACAAAAGTTCTTGGTAGAATACATTAAATCAGGAGCGGTTCCAGAAGGTTTTTACGTTCATACTATGAAGGATGGTAGAGTTCAGTTTAGAAAGATAAAGCAACCATTAGATAAAGAAGGAATTTTGAGAAAGATTAAACTTCATGAGGACAACATTGCTGAACTTAAGAAGAAGCTAGAAGAGTTGGAGAAAGGAAGAGAGTTATAAAGCAATGAATTCAACAGGATAGAAATGAGGTTAGAAATCGGGTTAGATCTAACCTTCTACCCTAAATTTATTTTTGTGCTATGTTTTCATACGTGTGAGGGTGGTGATATCATTTATTTTTAAGTTTATTTTTTAAAATTATTTTTTATTTTATTTTTATATAAATGACAGAACAAAAGCAACTCATACAAATCGAAAAATATAACAAACATACGTTTAAACATTTATTCTTCCTTCCTGAGTATAACATGTTCTTTACACTTCATCCTAGACCAGTTGACTATACACTGACTGTTTATAAAGATTGTCATGGTAGTTTTATAAAAACTTATGATGATGAAGGTAAGTTAACAAGACTATGCATTTCAAAACTTGAGAAACTTTATGACTTCAAGTATGACTACAATAGAGTTAACATTGACGATGAAGATATAGAAGAAAATTTATGAGAACGTTTATTTTTTCATTAGTGAGTTCGTTAGTGAGGTGAAGTGGTTGGTGGGTTTGTAAATATTTAAGGTTAAGTTAGTTTTTGCGTTTGATTTGTAAAATATACGTTAACGGTTTTGTGAAGTGTCAAATTCACATATAATGGGTAAGGAGGCGCGCAGTGCCTCCGTACACTTGATAGGTAATCTATCTAAAACTACGGCATAAGACGCAGTACACTGGGCTTCGTTGCCATTTTATTTACCATGTTAAGAATAAACTTAACAGACATGCTTTGTTTTCGACGAAGCCATCTAAAATAACGTACATCTAAATAAAACTAAAAAAACTGTAAAATTTCTTTATTTGATAGTATACTTCAAATTATGCACTATACCTTCTAGAATTCTATAACACTCTTTGCATATAATTTTTTTAAAAAAAAGTTATATTTCGATAAAAATATGATTTATCAATAGAGTATGTAAAATAAAACTCATTCGCAGTATTAAAAAATCGTAAATCTTTCCAAAAAAATTTTGAATTACAAATTTTAAAACTTAAAACAACATTTTTTGAAGCGAAAAAACGAAATCTATTTTTTTTGGAAAATTTAGAATAAATAGAGCTCTTTAACTCGTCGAATACAAATTGTTTTCAAGTTTTTTTCGACCGGAAATTGAACTTTTAGAGTTTATACAATAAGATTCACATGAAAAAATACGGGTTTAACAAAGAAATCACCAATATAAAGGTTTTTTAGTAGAACAAGATTGATAAAAACTATGGTATGATAAAAAGACGATAATTTTTTTGACCTATTTCCAATCATTAAGTCCGAAATGCAAAATAATATTAATTAAGCTTTTCATTTCTGTATCATACACGAAACAAAATCATTCATTATACTAAACTTTATCAAAGTTTGAATAATGAAAAAAAAAATATATCTAAATTTTTACATTGAGTCTGCAATTGATATGGTTAATATTAAATCTTGTAACAACGGGCATTGGCCAAAATAATACCCGCTAAAATACACAATTTTTTAAAATTTTATCAATTTGTTATGGTGCATATTTATGACAATGAATAAAATGCTTATCCTTCATAAGTAAATACATAATTTATGCTTAAACACAAAAAATAACACGAAAATTTTTGGCCAACATATCAAAATTAAGGATAATGTTTTGAATATATAAGCAATAATACTTTGTCTAGAGAATTAAATTTGTGCTATCTAATTGTCAATTCTTTGAATTTTTTTTTAATGCAAGATATCCCGGCATTGGCCTCAATGAATATAAACTACATGCATCATAATATTAGTTTGTAATAGCAGAAAAGCGAAATTCCTAATTTCTTCTCAAATAAATTCCTAAAAAAACATCGGAATTAATGATTGGAAATAGGTCAAAAAAATTCCTAATATAAAACTTATACTTAAGATAAAATCAAAATTCGAAAATATCTATTTTTCAAAACACGCATCCAAAAGCGAAAAAATTCGAAAAAATCATGTTCTTATAAAACTCGCCGATTTTGCAATTTTTATCCGATTTGAAGTGATAGAATATATTACCATCTTACAAAAACATATACTTCATTATTCCATTCACAAAATATTAATCAGAACACTAGGAAAAGTGGATTTTCGAAAAAAGACGATAACGATTATTTGCAAATTGCCTCTCAATTTTGAGAGACTTTCAATTTTTACAGTGGACCCTTAACTTTTGAACTTAGAATATTGGGTTAGAAAGCTTGTGTGTCAAAAAAATTAACTTTTGAACTTAGAATATTGGGTTAGAAAGCTTGTGTGTCAAAAAAATTAACTTTTGAACTTAGAATATTGGGTTAGAAAGCTTGTGTGTCAAAAAAATTAACTTTTGAACTTAGAATATTGGGTTAGAAAGCTTGTGTGTCAAAAAAATTAACTTTTGAACTTAGAATATTGGGTTAGAAAGCTTGTGTGTCAAAAAAATTGAGAGAATGTCAGAAAATGGTAAGTGCACCCTTAAATAAAAGAAAATATATTTTTATTTTGATTTTATATATCAAAAAAACGACTTATTGAAGCTGGAACTTAACAAGATCAGAATAAATTCCGTTTGCTTTAAGTAGTTCTTCGTGTTTTCCGCTTTCGACGATCTTTCCGTTCTGGAACACGAGAATTCTGTCTGCATTCTTAACAGTTGCCAATCTGTGTGCAACAACAATTGCAGTCTTTCCTTTTCTCACTTTTTCGAGAGATTTCTGGACCAACTGTTCTGACTCTGTATCCAAAGCAGCTGTTGCTTCATCCAACAACAAAATTGGTGCGTTTGCAAGGATAGCTCTTGAAATACAGATTCTTTGCTTCTGGCCACCGGAAAGAGATGTCTGTTGGACTTCTGTCTTGTAGTTCTTTTCCATTGTCATAATGAAATTATGAGCGTTTCCAACATCAGCTGCCTGAGCGACGTCGTCATCGGAAGCATCGGGTTTGGAGTATCTGATGTTGTCTGCAATGGACATAGAGAACAAAACAGGGATCTGTGGAACAGTCACAATTTGTGATCTTAAGAAAACTTGGCTTAGATCTTTGATATTCTTGCCGTCAAGAAGGATTTCACCTTCTGTGACTTCGTAGAATCTCTGTAAGAGCTGTAATGTTGTTGTCTTGCCACATCCGGATTCACCAACTAATGCAACGGTTTCGCCTGGTTGTATAGAGAAGGAAAGGTTGCGAACTGCATATTCTTGTCTTGTAGAATAGTGGAAGCCAACATTTTTGAACTCAATGGCACCTTTTACATCAGATAATGTTTCGCCTTGCTTTCTATCGATATCAGGGACCTTCTCTATGATCTCGAGTACCTTTCTGGACGAAATGTTGGCCTTTCTGAAGTCGTCGATGGATGAAAAGACCTGTGTGAAGCCCATTGTAGCAAACATGAGGGACATCATAAGAACTAAGGCATCGCCGGCCCTAATACCGTAACTGGGTTTCTTAATGATGAAGTAGGATGTGAAATAAAGAACGGCCGCGATCATCGCATTTGCGAAAAACGAAATTACGCCATCTTTGACGCCGTGTACTATAGAAGTTGTAGTGTAGACATCATCAACGCCATCAAGAGAGGATGTGTATGCATCGTATTCCTTCATTTCGCCATCAAAAGCTTTAACAGTTCTAAATTGAGTAATAACTTCTTCGGCTTTCGATGCGGCTGTCGTGGAACGTTCGTTGTATTTGTACCAGAGCTTGCCAACGTAGAATTCGCCCAACCAAAAGGTGACAAGTACAATAGGAATGGCTACTAAGCAAATTAAGGAAACTCTCCAGCTGGAAATGAAAGAGAGAACGATACCACCTATCGCTTGAACAGAACTTTGTATAACTTGGAGGAATTTGTCGATATATGTTTCTCTGATTAAAGTTACATCTTCTGAAAGTCTTGAAACAAGAACACCTGTAGACTGCTGGTCAAAGTAATCGATACTCTGATTAACTAATGAAGAGTAAATTTTAACTCTAACATCTGTGGCGAATTTTGGCACGCAATATGACTTTAATGATTGAGAGACTAACATGAAGAAAAGCATGGCAACGTTGATATATGCCATTCTGTAAATTGTTGGCAAAATAGCTTTGACAATTTCAGTATTACCGTTAGACATCTCTGAAGTTATATCACCCATGAAGAAGTACATCATCAGAGGTACCATACCTGCACAAGCCATTAAGATAACGGTGATTGCAAACATGCATTTGTTTTCAAAGAACTTTAGCATGACACACATTTCAAAACCTGTGGTCTTTACATCTTTATCATCTTGTGAACCTTGTGTTTTGAAAACTTTAAACTGTGGAGGCATTTGGTCTTCACGCTGTCTTCAAATTATGAAAATAGATCGGCGATTTTGTGAACATTACAAATCAAAAAATTTTGGATCATTGAATTAATATAATATTCATAGATAGTTGCTCAATATATTTCGGAGAAATATCAATTTGATAGAGATTATTACTTTCAAAGTAATTTGTGCACTCAATTTCAATTTACAAAAAAGTGCGAATGTCATTATCTCAATATTACATGTGGTTTTAATACGGTACACGCTTCCGGTCAAATATTGTAAAGCATTGAAAAAATAACGTTAAATTGTGAGAGTATTTCATTTAGATAATATTGTTAATAATACATATGCATCAATATTTCCTCAAAAAAATCGAAATATGCCAGTTTCGCGAATTAATTTTTTACTTATTTTTTAAATCGTTCCAATTTCCTGATGAAAATAGTATGAGCACACACTATGTCGAAGTTTATTCTACAGAAATACGATCATTATACAAAAAATTATATTGTTCTCTATATATCTTTCTTCATGGAGTAACTATTGAGTCAATCGATAATTTTGTCTCATGAAAAATTGAGATGATGAAATAATATTGTCTAATCTTAGATATAAAATTGTTTTATATGAAATCTTGTATAGTAACAATTGATGCATATCTTTAGATTTTATTTGTTTAAGGGATCATGTTTTTCATTATGGCCAATCATTTCGCATCTGTTCAATTCATTTGATATGGATGAAATTGAAAAGAATGACTCAATCTTCAAACAAAGATTGATCATGTCACCAGAAATATCAAAATGTGAACAGTACGATGAATTATTATGCGAAATAAACGCGATTCCAATTCAACAGATAATGAACTTTGTATTAACAAAGTTTGATCACCAAGAATCGCGATACTTATTTGCAATGATTATCATATTTTCAGAAATAAGACCTCATTTCATTGCTCAATATGCAAATCTTTGGGTTGAACTCAGTAAAAAGCGACAATGCACATTTTCAGCTGACAACATATATCATGAGAATCCTACATTATTGCGACACATATTAAACGCAGGAGGTTACTTTGAAGACCCTGATTTCGAACATTTTTCAAAAATGAATATACCAGAAGACTATGCAAGTAACAGTTTAGAATACATACTTAAATACGATCTTGTCAATATACTTTCAAAGCTTGCAACTCAAAGTCAAATGTCATTAAAAGGATACGTCACTACAAACAACTCAGACTTTTTCTTAAGTCGTCAAGAGATGCCTACATTAGCATTTGCTGCTTTATACGGTGCAGAAAACTGTTTTAATTTATTATTAAAATATAAACCACAAGTTACGATGGAAACATGCGAAATGGCCGCACGAGGTGGTAACATTAACATCATTAATCAATGTGCCAAAGAAGGAGGCACTTTCGAGAAAGGTGCAGAATTCTCATCTTTATGTCATCATTACGAAGCTTTTGATCTCTTTATGTCTGGTAAATTCGGTGACCAGAAGTCTTCCGTATGCAATAGCGCTCGATCTATGAATATTGCCGTTGTTTTTTACTTAGTAAACCATGGTGGAGATGTAAATGAAAAAGACAATAGATTGATGTCACCTTTACACTATGCATGTAAGCATTCATCGCTTCCTATTGCACGTATTCTATTGGAGCATGGCTCGTTAGTTAATATGCAGGATTCGATGAAGAAAACACCTCTTATTTACGCTTGCGCAGCTGGTTCTGTTGAATGTGTCACTTTTTTAATTGAAAAAGGTGCTGATGTAAATATCAGTGATGAAATGTGGAAAACGCCATTGCATTATGCTGCTCTTTCCAACTGTTTCAAGATTGCTGATTTATTGATTAATGCAGGAGCGAAAATCGATTCAGCGACTGAACATTTAGGAGATACTCCACTTCATTGTGCATGCTCTGTTGGTAGTATTGATATTGCTTTGTACTTGATACAATGCGGGGCAAAGATAGATGAAAGATGCGAATATGTTGGCAGAACAGAGTATATTAGTGGTGTTACACCTCTTCATGTTTGTTGTCTCCATAAATATACGAGATTGGCTGAAGAATTGATTAAAAAAGGAGCAAATTTAGAAGCAAAAGCTGAAAATAGAATGAGAGCAATACATATTGCATGCAAATCTAATAATATTGAGTTAATTAAGTTATTAGTTAGCTATAAATGTAATTTAAATGTTAGTGATGAAACATGTATGAGACCAATTCATTATGCATGCTTAAAAGGTGCTTTAGATATTGTTAAGTATCTTTTCTCTTTAGGTGTAGATGCTTTGGCTAAAGGACAAGGCGGAAATACTTGTTTACACTTTGCATGCATGTCTGATAATGATGAACTTGTTCAGTTTCTTTTGGAGAAAGGTTTAAATCCGAATGTTTCTTCTTCATCAGGAAAATATCCATTACACATTGCTTGTGAACGTGACAAATATAATATGTGCGTTGCACTAATTATGGCTGGTTCCGAACTTAATCCAGAAGACGCTGAACATAATCATCCTTTTGCTTATGCAAATTCTTATGAAATTCAAAAATTAATTATTAATCAACAAAATGCAACTAAATGTGAAATTTAGATGCATTTTATATTTGTTTATAATATGGCATTCCAAACGGGAACCGCGGTTGGTTACCATGGATTTCCGTCACCGGTCACATTTTAAAGATTTTTAAAGCCTTATAAAAATATGCTTTGTAAATCATTTTTTGTAAATCGGCAAAAATTTGGTAATTTTCTTCAACTAATAAATCTGCGAATAGCATTTATAATACAAGAACAATCTTTTAAAATGCGTTTGATTCATTTTTGTATAATTTCATATAGGCACATATATTCTTCCGGGACTTTCCGTGATTTTACCGTAAAATCATTAGTTTACACCAATTTTTCCGTATTTTGAATAGTTTACTGCACTTTTTCCGTAAAATTGAGTTACGGGAATCCGCAAAATTTCCGGACCTCATTTTTCATAGAATATAATAATAATATTTGATAAAAAGATATATTATTTATATTTTTGATTTTTGAATTACGGAAAAAGTGAATTGATAACTTGATTTTTTTATATGGTTAATTTTTCAAATGATATTATGTAGATCTAAAATATTAAAAGTAAAAAATTGAATTACGGAAAAAGTGAGGTCAAAAGTGAAATAAATTTGCAGAACAATTTTCATTGAAATAAGCTTTATTTTTCATTATTAATAACAATGCTGTAATAAACAGAAATTCATCAAAAGTGACAGCTCTCAATTTTTTGACATTTGTAAATTCTAAATTGAATGAGAAAAATGAAATAATACTAAGCATAATACAATATTCTAGATTTAATTATAATTAGGAAAAAGTTAGTTTTGAGAGTACTTTTCATAGGCATATAGAATGAAATCTTCTGAAAAATAATATCACATAAACTCATATTATTTTCTAATATATAACTATTTTATATAAAAATCAAATTCAATGATCTTAAAAGCGAAGGATAAACCTCAAAATTTACAAATATAATGAGTGGGAATATAATGCTTATCTATCATAAAACCATATGAAATATCAATTTTTGCTTTACGCCTAATTTTTGACGACAATTAGCAAAAAATGTTAAATGTTAACACTCAGTCCATTTGAATATGAAAAATAAAATTGACTTTGATTAAATGTTTTTATTTATCATGCAATTCTTCTTGCGACCAAAGATTTGAATAAAAGTTCAAAAAATAAGATAGCTTAAAAAATAATATACGGTAGTGTTTACTAATAGATGAATAGTATATAAATTCTATTAAAATGGATTTGATCCAAAAAAATATATAAAATTTGATCATAAATAAAATCGTTTTAAATTACTTCTTCATTTAAATTATAACAATTATTTTTGGTTTTATAGTTTTTAAAGCTCATGTGGTTTTTTTAACCACAGAATACTTATGTGCTGTAGCAAGCTTGCAATCCAAAGCTCACGTTAGACAACAAGAGTCATGAAGTCTCATACTAAGGGATATCCAACATATATTTTAATAATCTAATGTTTGTGACAAATATTCAACATAAAATTAAGTTTTCGTTTCGTTACAAGGCATTCATACTTTGGAGATATCATATTTAATGTACAGAAAAGTTAATATTAAACAATACATGCTAAAGAATTAATAAATAAGATAATAAAATAAATTTATACGTAATTACTTTCATTTAATATGCTTTATGCTGTATAATATTGATTAAGAGGCATTAAAAGGTTCCATAATCTGCTTTTATAGGCAAGATTTTTGATAAAAATTTTAAATTTTGAAAAATGATGAGAAAAGGAAAAAAAAGGTAAATGAGAGCAAGAGGAGGGAAAAAAAGAAAAAGAAAAGGAAGGGAAGGGAAACATAAAAGAAAGAAGGACATATAAAAATTTAGATGCGCATTCTTAATGCCGAGGCGGCTTGCCGCCGAGGCGCGATTTTTTTAGGCCTCTACGGTAACCCGGCAATGTTTTTTTAAATCTTGTACAGCCCTAGTTTATAATTATATATATTGAATAAATCCAAACTTATATTAAATTTATCAGATGTTTCAACGAATTCAATAATTCAATATAGTCAAATCCAAAATTTAATATAGATGGAAAGCAAATTGTCTACTAAAAAGAAAATATGATGCTATCAAACATGGCATGCACACCAGAATTATTTTTGCTTTTTCTTCGATAGATCTTGATAGCTTTACAAAATATTGTATGCCGAGGCTCTGGTAGAACATTTATTTTGATAGATAATTTGAATACCGGGGCTCTAGTATCATTGCTTTTTTATCCGCGATACCTTTGCTTACAAAAGTGATGGCCGACCAATTATATCCCCATTTTCGCTCCTTTTTTTCATGAAATTATTATTGAGTATCGGATTTTAAATATGAAAGGGATCAAGTTTATATTTTGATTGATAAATTGAATGGAGTTCGTTTTGGAATGATGTTAAGTGAAATGAATGAGTCGTAGATTATCATACATCCATTAATATTTTAATAAATTTTTAACAATAGCATATTGAAAACGACTTTTGAAAATGTCAAATGTTTTGAATCTAAAAAATCTGCCATGTTTTAATAATGATGGCTGAAGAGGAAGAGATTTTAGAGCCACCCATTGGCGGCGGCTTCGAAGGGAAAGTTTACCTAACAAAGTCCGGTAAAGTAGTAAAGATTATGGCTGATGTTCCAGAAAACTTTAAGTCTGCATACAGACAATTCTTACTAACAGATTTCTTTGAGAAATGCTACACAAATCCTCCATTTGCTCACATATTTGAGTTATCCACATCTAATGGTAAAATTAAACTTAAAATGGAAAAATACTATAAAGATCTAAGTGCAAGGATGAAAACAATTACAAGAGATGATGCCTACAAATTCATGGACCAAATCTTTAGTGGCATATCTATGCTTATTGATCTGGAATACGTGTTTCAAGATTTGAAGCCTGGAAATATTTTATGCAATATACACGGTTCAATCTTCTTAACAGACTTTGGTTCTGGCGTTTTCTTAACTGAAATAGATGGCAAAAGGCAATTTACATTTATGACGAACAAAATTTACACAGATCCAGAATTGAGCAAGGGTTGGTTTGATGTGATGAATTACGTTTATTCATTGGGTGTCATTTTCCTTGAAATGCTACACCATGGTAAAATTAAAGAAAAGTCACTAGAATATATAAAACAGTTACAAAAAGGAGAAGAAGAAAAGCCGGCCAGCCATGAATCCAATGATAAATCACAGTCGCAATCTAATAATAATAATGAAGAAACAGCTTATGATGAAATGTTAACAGAAACAATTGAGCATTTCAAGAAGAACCCATATGCAATTGAGTTCAATGATATTAGTGACGAGGAAAAAGAATTCATTACCTTTTGTATTTCCGATTTCGAAGGAAGATACACTTTTGAAGAAGCTCAGAATGAATTTAAGAAGCTTGTTGATCTCAGATCCTATAATGTATTATAAAACATGTTTGTATATTGTATTAATCTAAAGTTTTTAAAAAAAACAAATAATAATCTGTATGCATATAAATATAACACTTTCCCAATATTAATATTTTCTTTGAAATATCAATATTTTTTGTTGATATTTTGGAAAAAATATAATTTTTGTTAAGAAAAGTGTCATTATAAACATATTATGCAATAGAACATGGTCCACATTGTGATGTACCAGGGGAATCAGATGCAGCGTGAAGAGAAAACGGAACATGAATACTCATTCCGCATTCTGAAGCTTTTGGAAGAACAGCGAGTGGAGAAAATTCACGTATAACAGTTGGCTTTAAATATTCCCAGTCAAATGGCATACTTGGCGAAATATTATTTTTTGCCATTGATTTAATGATCAAATCTTCAATTTGTTCGTAGTTAGGGCGCTCATTGAATCTCAAATAATTCAGATGTCTCCAAATATCAATGAATTCTCCTGGTAATGACGAGAAAAGAGTTCTTGCAGGAATTGTAAGTTTCATACGATGAGTTCGTTCGAAATCTCTTCCGCTAAGCCATGGGAGACGTCCATCAATCAATTCAATCATTGAATACATCCAGGAAATCAAATCATCTTTCCAAGAAAGATCTTTGTTCTCGTGAGCTGATATTGAAGCGTACTTTGATGTTCCACGAAAGCCACAGTGTGCTCTTTCGGGATATGGCATTCCTGTTGAAGGATCTATAAATTCTCGTGATAAACCGTAATCAATTAATACTAATGGATTATTTGAGCCCGGATTTAATAAAAAGTTTCCGGGTTTGATGTCTCTGTGGATAAATCCGTGGACGTGGAAGTCTTTAATACACCTTACCATGTATAAGCCAATTCTCAAGGCAGATGAAAGAGTATAGTGGTGCTGTTGAAGTTGTCGTCTTGTGTTTGAAATTGATGGACCGTATAATCCCATTACAAGAAAGTTATGTGTATTTGTTTCTCCGAATTCTTGAAAATGTGGGAATAAATTAGAATCTTGAAGTCTACGCATTAAATTTGTTTCGAAATTTAGTCCTTGACGCTCTGCATTGTTCGGTTCGACTTTCATTGCATAAATTTGGCCGTTTGTATCATCGGAAACGGCATAAATGTCGCCGTATCCGCCTTGTCCTAGTAATTTAATTATAGTATAATGTGAAATTTTATCATTTGGAGTAAAGAGGATCCTGTCGCGACGCGTCGACATTTCCTGGCACTTTTTTTAGTTTAAAAAATTGCGATCTAAAGCAACGATGCAGCTGGTAATCATACATCATGATATCAACAATTTTCTAAAAGTTTTGTGGCTGTTATTCGCGATAATATGTTTCGGTAAAAAATAAAGAGGAGTTTTACCAAGAATAGCATTAACACTTACTATTTAATTAGTCTAAAATCTTCATTTGCATTATCGAAGGAGTGGAATTCATATAATAACTTGTTTCGATATCGTGATTTTTAAAATTCACGGTTCATTTAAGGATGAAACTCAAAAAAAAAAAAAAAAAAAAAAAAAAGGTAATGGGGCTTCCAGGGGCTGCGCCCCTTCTAGCCCTGAAGATGTTTAGTATAAATGAAGTTTTTATTCGGAAAATTGTTAGTCTTGTGGTTCATCTTCTTGAGTAGAGTCTTCTTCTTCAACATCAAAGTCATCTGGTGTATCGAATTGAATGTATGAAAGCCAAATGTTGTATGTGTTTTCCAATTGGCTTTCAAACTTGAGATACATTCCATGCATGAGTGTTATTTCAGTTTCAACGTAGAGTTGCTGATGTGGCTTGAAGACATGCATGAGAATTGGTCCTCCAAATTCGTCCTTGAAAAACTTGCAGTAGCAAACATAAACTGAGATAGAGTCTCCTTCTTCAATGTCTTCTGCTTGGTTAACGAAATGAATAGCAATTTTGCGTACTTGAATTGTGTTGTTGTCTGAGTAAAATAATGGTTTGAACTTGGGGTTGAGTGAGCTAAGACATTGCCATTTTGCTGTTTCTTGTCCGTACTCACGTTCTTCTTCGTCATCCTGATATCCGTAACTCTTTGATTTGAATTCGACCCAAAGCTGTTCGACTTTTTTTGCAGCTTTGGGTGGAAGACTTTCAATAAGCTGACATATAGTTCTGTCAACCATTATCTTTGTTATTGTTGGAAAATAGTTGACAATTGTGTCACCTAATTCGAATGGGTCAGGTGTTTCTTTTTGTAGTTTGGTAAAGTCTGCAAGAACTTTGTTGAGTTGTTCACAATATTCTTTGTTAAAAGTTGCAGGAACTCTTTCTTCTGGCTTTGAATTGAAGTATTCTTCAGACAATCTGAGTAGTATTTTGCGTAGTTCAGCGTTGCTGTGGTTCTTTGTAATACGGAGCTCGTTTGGTATTGTTTTTGGTAGTGAAAGTGGCTTTGGATTGAGTGAATTGCAGGACAAATTTGAATTTGAATTGTCTGTTCTGCTTGGAGAATGTGTAGATGCTGCAGTTTGATATTGAGGCTCTAAACCTGTGGGTGCTGAAAGTCTGCAAGCAATTTCTTCAGGTGAATTTGGAGCGAACACGCTAGCGAATGCCATTAGACAAAAATAAACTGTTTTTTTCAAATAAGAGTTTAAAATAAACCGTTTTCGTCAACGGTAACCCCCTCTATTTTTTTATTTTATTTAATAGTTACCGTTGGAAAACCGTTCCATCTCAAATATTGAATGAACTATAAACGTTTTTTGTTTTCTATATATACTTTTTTGTCCAACGGTAAAACTTTTTACACAACGGTTTTTGAGAGTCGTCGCTGTTGACTTTTTTGTAGAGCACTCAAAATAGTATAACTTTGTCCGGACAAGTAAGGGTCTATCGTCGCTACAGGAAAAGTTACGGGCGTTCCAAGGAAGTATACTTTGAGAAGCCTTTTCCCCTTATAGAATGAGATAGGACGGTTATTTTACAAAACTGACAACACTTTGACCGAGTAGTTTTTTGTGCTGAACAAAAAGTGTCATATAAACATCTGTCAAAAACCGCTTTTTAACTTCACTTAAAATGCCACGTAAGCTACGTAAGAATATACGTAAGAGGAAGAGAGCATTGAAACATCCAATAGTAAAACTGACACCACAACAACAGTTGCAACAACAAATATGAATGACCCACTATGGTTGCAACAAATGTCAAGCAATCCTATGCTTTTAAACCGAGTTGTTGGTGCACAGAGTGGAGGTTTAAGAGCGGCACTTTTAGCGAAAATGGCAGGCTATGGTGGAGCTGCAGACGGAACAGCCTATAACCTCAAAGTCAAATGAATTTGAGTTCACTCAAAAATCAAATAACAGATGTCAAAAAGTCAAACATAGACATACAGAAGCAAATAAGTGAAAACGAAAAGAAACTAGAATATGACAGACACACAAAGAAACTCAATGAGTTAAACGTAGAGAAAAAGAAGAAGAAGAACAACTTGAAAGAACTAAGTACAGAGGAATATGCGAAAAAAGTGTCAGAAAAAGCAGCAGAAGTAGCAAAAATGGAACAAGATGTTATAAATTTGAAAAACCATACTACTCAATATAAAGTACTGAAAGATGAAGAAATAAAACAAAAAGCCTTGAAGACATATATGGATAGCGATGAGTATAAAAAAAGAGTTGAAGCAAATGTAAAGGCAGAAAAACTTTTACAGTTGCAAAACCAAACCGTACAGTATGAAAACTTAGCACAAGAAAGTAAAAATAACGACGCAGCCATGCAAAAGGCAATGAAAAGCGCAGAATATATAAAAGCTAATAATGACTGGTTAGATGCCCAAGCCAACGCTAAAGCAGCCCAACTTATAGGGTCAATAAGGACAAAAATACAAGCGGATGAAGATAGTTCAAATGAAGCTTTAACAAATGCTGACTTTAAGAACGCTTTCGAAGCTCTTCATAGTAAGGTGAAACAAGTGAACGACTTCTCATCTGGAAAGAAACTGAAGTCTGAAGGTTTCGACAAAGAGTTAAAAGAAGTAGCACAAAATATGACGAAAATAACAGATGCAGCAACGAGACAGGCAGTTCAAAGTGCCTATGACGCCGTTAGAGCAACTGTTGTGAAAAGTCAAGAAAAAGAGTTACAACAGACCAAAACAGACCTAGTAAATGCTTTCTTAAAAACGAAAAGTCAGGTAGGACATTACGCTGCAGATGGAACATATGTGCCAGCTGGTGGAACTTATATACCACCAAACCCTCCAAGAGAAGCACCTGCACCAGGACTACCTAAAACATTTACATCGTCACATGGACACAGACACAGGCATGCACCAAAACCAGCACCACAACCAACAGTTCAAAACCCTGCACAACAACCAGCACAGCAACCAACAGTTCAAAACCCTGCACAACAACAACCACAAACAGAGCAAGGACATAAAAGAAGTAGAGAACAAGGAAACCAAGAATTCTTAAAAATGCTTAAAGAAGAGTGTGGTTTCCCAGATACTGTTGACTTTAGTGACAGATATAAAGAAGCTATTGGAAAGTTCAAGGATGGAAATACTGACCCGAACCTATTTAGCTTTATGGCTCAGCACCAAAACGGATATAATCTCAAACCTGGAAAATACAAGCTCGCTAAGGGATATGATTTAATAGCATATCATCCAAATGACATGGATGAATTTACTCCGAGATATTTGATGTCAGAGCTAAATGACAATTCAACTTTCGTCATGAAACGCGTAAAAAATAGAGACGGAACGAAAGAACAAAAGCTTATGAATGCGGATGACGTAGATAGGGAAATTGTTGAAAACGGTCTCGGAATATATGAAATGCCAGCAGATGAGGTACAAGAAACTCCACAGGAAGAAGTTCAGATACAACCAGACATGGAAGAAATAGTTCAGCAACAACAGCTAGAAGAGCCTGAAGGAAACGAACAAGTCCTTCCTTTGGAAACTAACTTCACAGAACTAGATGAAGATTTGGAACAGCCGAAAAATCTTGACCCTCAACAAGAGTATGCGGAGAATATGGAATATTTCCAAGAGTCTAAAAAAAATTCGGCTGGCATAGTAGAAGAATATCGAAAAATGTTTGCCGACATACAAAAGACTCCAGCACCAGATGAAAATATTCAGCATAGAATGGAAGAACTGAAAAAAATGTACACAAATACAACAACCCTTTTTACTTACGAGCATTTAACGTTCAATCTTCGGATGAACTCGGTGAAAATAAAAGGTTAAATTTCAAGAAAACATATAGAAATGAAACATTGTTTAAAGTTCATTCAGAACCTAACCAAGATGGAAACAAACCTACTTTTGTTTCTGCAGACGATGGAACTACAATGAGATGGGGTCATAAAGCTAATCCGGATAGGTGGTTCATAAACTTACAACCACAATTCCAAGAAGTTGTAGACGCAATGGAAGTCAATGGTGAACCAGATATAGCTGGTATTTTAGCGCGGCTTTAATGCCATTGAAAGATATGAAACATGCAGATATTTTGGACCAGTATGAAATGAACATGGCTGATGGAAATATAACACCTGACGTTCTAGAACATTTATCTCAAAGAACTACACAGAACCATAGAGATGGTATATTTGGTGAAGAGTTTAGAAAGAAAGTTAGGGAGGAGAAGGAAGAGAACCTATTGTACATGACCTTGCAAACGAAAGTTTACAAAATGTCATAAAAACTTACTTTGCAGACAATGAACCGAGAAGGGATGAATATTTAAGAAAACTCAAATGGACAGTACCAAATGAAATGTTAGTATTGAAAAACATGTTCCTTGACAAAATAAAACCAACTACAGAAATAAACGACGCAAGACTGAAAGATTGGGTAAAAGCTTTCCCATTCACAAAAGATATAGTTGGTAACATGGAAAGAAAACCAGAATGGCTACAAAAACATATATTTGGAAACGAGCATATTCCATATGGACAGGCACTGTTTGAAGAGCTTGAACCGAAACTCAGGAAAGAGTCATGCAAACAATACGCGAAGACTCAAATACAGACTATGACAAACTCTTTCTAGGATATAGGTTACCTGAGATGGGCGACCAGAGCCAAAAGGCAAAAAGGACATGGGAAATTTGCAACATACTAGATGAACATAATGCAAAGATGCAACAACTTCAAGCAGAGGGCAATGAAGGAAAAAGAAGAGTTAAAAACTCAGTCAGGAAGAAAGTAAAGCTTGGTCACGTGGGTTCTATTATGA